ACTAACAGTCAAATAACCAACATGGATGCCTAATGGTACTTTTCAGAAAGATTTTGTTGGTTTGTTTTTGGTTGTTAACGCCGCACTCAGCAATATTCCAGCTATATGACGGCGGTCTGACATCAAATATATCAACACTCGTTAGGGTGGCCCAGTCGTCTAAGGCGCCGCGATTCTCTGTGCAGAGTTGCGTCAGTTGGGCACGCCCGAAACCTATGATTGTGGGTTCGAATCCCGGTTCGCCCTGATTATGTTTCTTGTTTCACCATACCCATTCTCGTGGGCTTCATCGAAGAGGTAAACGTCTGAGACCTGCATCACTTCGGGCTTTCCTCTCACATTAAGCTGACACGCTGTGATATAACTGGAATACGTTAAAAGCGGTGTTAAACCCAACTCTCTCACTTACTCTATAGTTGACTACGCGTTTAATCGCTTAGATCATTCAAGAACGAAGCGGGGTGTATTATACGATTAATCATGATCTCATTTCTGATTATTCGAATGTGATCTTGTAACATTACAACGCAGGGAGTTTGACGACGTTAATTTTGAGAGGGAAGTGACCGTCAGGTTGCTCTCCATAGATATTGAGGCATTTCCTTCGTGAAGGCGGCTGCATGAAGACGATAAACATCCCAGTGTCACCCACATGGTACGTGTAATTTACATTTTTGTCGTGTCTCGAAATATGAATTGTAAATAGTGTATCGTGCAAAATATATGGTGAGTTTCTGAATAAATACAGCAGTTTCAAGAAAGTGGTAATTGTATTTATAATGTTAAGTGTACTTTACAACATGGACCAGGTTTATATTGTATCTTATGAGTGATGTCGGGATCGAGTTATCGCCCTTGATGAATTGTTTGTTTATTATAGGGTTAAAATATAAGATAATGATTTTGTATATCATTGATTATTAAGTTCATGTTCATGTACAGAATATAGACGTATGTTTATATGAAATGAATGAAGGTGTGAATATGTATGTGTATGAAACCTATGCACTATTGTTTTTATAATGTTATTGTTTTGTACATCAAAGAATGTCATTGTCTACTCTGGCAATAAACACTCACACCCGTAGCCTATGTTTGAAATTGTATTTTCCATCACAATCCCCGGTTACAATATGACAATCGGTTTTGGGAGAAAAGGTACGTGTAATCGACCTGAGGATTGTGTGAGCATATGCGGGAAATACCCACCTTAAATAGGGGTAAATATTTTTAAACCTCGTACATTTTATCAACATCCTTAAAGAGGCTGTACATAATGTTGATATCTCATATAATCATTAAACGACCCGTGGTTGTTGTTTATTGTACAATAAAACACTCGCCCCTCATGGTTTATTCTCCCTGCAGTGTTGTATTGTACCCCTACTCGTCGTTTATTTCTTAAACACTGGCCCGCACATTTATGAGTGAGTGAGTGAGTGAGTATGGTTTTACGCCGCTTTTAGCAATATTCCAGCAATATCACGGCGGGGGACACCAGAAATGGGCTTCAAACATTGTACCCATGTCGGGAATCGAACCCGGGTCTTCGGCGTGACGACCGAACGCTTTAACCACTAGGCTACCCGACCGCCCTCGCACATTTATGATAAAATACGGGCGGTTTAATGATAATTTTATCCATTTTAACTATAAAATAATGTAAAAAGCAATGTTTTGTAGTCAGGTTGGAGCGGATGAAAATATGATAATTAATTTTGTATTTCAAATTGGTCTATGAGAATTTTGTCTTTCCTGAATATGCTAGCCGTGTATAAAATTGCCTCATGGAGAAACTCACTGGCCTGTGATTATTTCTGTAACTGTAGTACTGATGATGCGGCTTTAAGCAATATTACTCACTCACTGACGGTGATAGTTTCCAGCTTTCGGACACATTAATGTTTTCACTATCATTGGACATTCATGTACACAATTTGTTTTGTTAAATTATATTGAGCATGTCGAGGGTTTTATTATAAAGTTCATTGGAAACTGTAACAACGGGAGATGACTCAGACATTGTGTATGTAAATTACATAGCATTTTCAAGCTCAAGTCATAAGTTTGCTAAATGCTACTTGGAGAATGAAGAGCATGAAAGAAGCATGACCAAAGGACTACTAACGTGCGCATGCGCTTGACCTTATGATATTACGCATGCGCACGGACAGCGTCTAAAACGCGAAAACACGAGAACGCGAGATCGCGAGAAAATGAAATGTTGCATTCTCGCGTTTTCGCGATTTCGTTATTTTGTGGCCTAATTTGACAAGTCGAGATTGCGAGATTGCGAGATTTTGCATCATGTCCAAATGTCGCATTCTCGCGTTGTCGACTTTTGACAAAAAGTGCTATGTACCAAAAACACGAGAATGCGAGAACGCGAGATTTCGGCTAAATCTCGCGATCTCGCATTCTCGTGTTTGGGGCATATTTACCTCGTTTCCAAAGGTCGAGAGCGCGAGAATGCGAGATCGCGAGAATGTCCCTTACAGTATTCCATAGGAAAAGGAGCATAATGTCCATTTCTTGTGTTACAAATATCCCATTTTGGCAAACATATTGCAAGTTGAGAATATAACACAATATGTGTGCATCAGTGTTAATGCTGCTGTGTTTACTATTGTGAAATGTTCGATTGTTTTCATTCCATTTAGATATCCCTAAGATGTAAGACATTCTATGTGAACCCTAGAAGCATTAAAACAACTCTGCCTCCCTGGCATAGTTGACAAGATGTTTGCTGTGTTCATACCCAGAAATCAGTCTGTAACGCCATATGGTATACACAATCATAACCATCATCATCTATCAGTTGTCGATACAATAATGGAGTTTGGATGGCCCTGTCGTCTAATTATAAGGCGCCGTATTTCGCTCAGCAGCTAAAGAGATCCCTCAGATGAAGACACCTATGATCTTGGGTTCGAATCGTCATTCTGTTCCCTCTTATGTTATCACAACACCCGTGCTCGGGGGCTTCACCAAAATGGTAAACGTCTAAACCCACTTCTATGTCGAGATAATGGGTTCACTTCTGTACTTCAACATACAAATGCACAACCGCAACAATTATACCGCTCTTCAGTTCCCATGGGAAGACATATGTGCTTCCTCTTATGTTAGTGATTTTGTAAGATTTACGAAAAATCCATACATTTGGGAAAGCTCTCTCAGGCGCCTACAGCTGGGGCCGCCATCACGAAGGTCATAAAGTGCTCAAAACCCTTGTCAGTTGAATATATAGAAGTGCAAAGATGTCCATATGAAGTTAATTTAAGCGCAAGTCGAACCTTCAGGCAATGATATATTTATGTTTCTTCCTAGTCATTTAAATGACTTCCACATTTACCTCGCCTTGTCTCACTCTGATTGTGTTAGGTATGTTCAGCTTATTACTCTTCTTGTTAAGAAAAATGTGGTATTGATAAAATTTGTTTAATCAATGTCGTTTATCATCCAGTTTTACCGCACGCTGCAAACACATGTTGCTTAATCCGTGCTTAATCGTGCCTTAACCTAGTGGTAGAGCGGAAGGTCCGAGGTTCGATACCCAGCCGCGTCATACCAAAAGACCTAAAAAGATGGTACTTGTTGTTACCCTGTCTGACGCTCGGCATTAAGGGGCTAAAACAAAGACTGGTCGGCTCGGAGTCAGTATACTGTGTCTGAGTGGGGTATTCATGTTAAACTGCACCATGGTATCTCAGTAGCACTATAAATCGGCATCAGTCCGGACTAGTACAAGCAGCCACACACACACGTTCAGGGACGTCGCTATATAAGTGCAATAATCTTAGACGAGACGTTAAACCCAATTTCACCTTACCTCCACATTTACCTCGCCTTGTCTTACTCTGATTATGCTTGGTGTGTTCAGCTTATTTCTCTTCTTGTTAAGTAAAATGTAGTCTTTGTTTAAAATTTGTTTAATCAATGTCGTTTATCATCCAGTTTTACCGCACGCTGCAACCACATTACATGTTGCTTAATACACCGTGTAAAAAGTCAATAGCCTGAAATATATATGGCTTGAATCAGACATAAATATTGAATAGATAATCCGTCATAACATTCTTCTTTTTTAACTGTGCCCATTCATTCACATATCTAAAGAGCAATGTTGTTAAAAACAACCATACTTGTGGAAAATGTTCTGATGTGACTGGTCAGTCGGTTGCCTTGAATCCCATTGACATTCCAAATAAACCTATAAATCTCTAGAAACGTCATCCTATGGTTTTCATGGGGCCATCAGTTTGTTGATAAATCTCGAAGGTAGTAAAGATCTTGTAATTTCGGGCATTCCGTTCGATGCCTTATGTTTATCAACCTATTGTAGAACCTTTCACGACAGCAGGTATATTTATCATCGCCGTTTAGAGATCACTCATATTTGATCTCGTTGTTGTTCTCAAATTGGAAGGTGTACTGGTATTCACTATTGTGAAATGTTCGTTTGTTTTCATTCCATTTAGATATCACTAAGATGTAAGACATTCCATGTGAACCGTAGAAGCATTAAAACAACTCTGCCTCCCTGGTATAGTTGACAAGATGATTGCTGTGTTCATACCCAGAAATCAGTCTGTAACGCCATATGGTATACACAATCATAACCATCACCATCTATCAGTTATCAATACAATAATGTAGTATGGATGGTCCTGTCGTCTGAGGCGCCGTTGTATTCAGCAGCTAAAGAGATCCCTCAGATAAAGACACCTATGATCTTGGGTTCGAATCTCTGATGCGCCGTCATTCTGTTACCTCTTGTGTTATCACAACACCCGTGCTCGGGGGTTTCATCAAAAGTGGTAAACGTCTAAACTCTGCATCACATCACTCTTTCCTCCCACATGACGCTGACAGGCCGTGATATAACATTTACACTGTTCAAAGAGGCATTAAACCCATCTCACTCACTCATTACATTTGAGTGCAGTTTTAGGGGCACAACCATACATGTACACATGATAAATTCCTGGATGTTTCAGCTGGTGCGTTCTTCGTCAACATGGAACCAGAGTCATTCGAGGAAATACAAAATAGACATCCATACATCAAACCTGGCGGTAGATTCCAACCTCTGGATTGTAAATCCCGTCACCGAGTGGCCATCATAGTGCCCTTTCGCGACCGAGAGTCCCACCTCAAGATCCTCCTCGAAAACCTTCTCCCCATGCTGGAACGACAGCAACTAGACTATGGAATCTACGTCGTGGAAATGGTAAGGACATCGTCTTTCAAACAGATATAAACAAGTGGCCCCATTCGTGTTGGTTTATGATGTCGTCCCTCTTTCGGGGGTCAGGATAGAATGTGTTTTGTTATACCATATTATAAATGCAACTGCTTATGGTTAAAACTCTGCTGCATCTTAACTCCTTGATAGATGATTGAATGTTGTTTCTATATATATCATGTGGAAGTATGTGGCTGGTAACACGAGGCGAATGACCACGTCCCATGAGCAATGTCACACCTTGTGTCCATTAGATCCTCAGTTTAGAAGGCTCTTACGGCAAGAATGGGATACTCAGATCCGATGTCATCAAGAAGTCCTTAGGGCCCTACTTTAAATTCACATTTCCGGCAAGCATCCCGAGTGCACGTACAGTTAGTAATGATCGCGTGACCCTAAATAACAGTATAATTACTCCATTTGTGTTTTAATAGTTTACACACCTAGGGCCTAATTGTAACGTTTTATTATTTGTTTTCGCTCTACCTAAAACAATCTTGAAGCATAGCTGCAAGTGGGCATGGAAATACAAAAGAAACAAGTCCCTTTGGCCCAAACTCGATTATTTTCTGGCGTGATATAACAATAATATTGCTGACAGTGGCGTAATGCAAGAATTACAGCCAAGATCATCCTTTTTCTAACTCAGAATGTAGAATCGTGGCATTACGGCATTATGTCCAACGTCATGAACTCGCCAAGAAATGTAACGGCTCGATCCAAGGTTGTAACAAAGTGATGACCACGTCGGTTCCGAAAATGCGTTTTCTGCGTTTTAAACAGAAAACTATTAATGGTTTAAGCTACTCTAAGCACAAAGTAAACAGTACTTCCGGTTCAAGATATGTCATATCCGGTTTCGGATCATAAAGCTTCTGCATTTGAAAGTAAAATATAGCATTAAAACTGAAAGTCATATATTATATAAATATTAACATGAATCCATTAAGACAGAAACGTATTACTTTTTAGTGTTCCTGTCCATCATGTTAATGTTCTTTTTGTTCCAATGCTTTAAGGGGGCACGGGTTCCACATTCGTCTAAGTCGCCGCAATTCGCTGTGCGTATACCAGAAACGTATGATAGTTGGTTCGAATCTCGATTCGAATATTGCTAAAAGCGGCTTACAATCATACTCACTCACTTGAAACGATTGTCCAACCAATAGTCTGCATGTTTAAAGAACATGCTGACGGGGCTTATATGAAATATACATAATGTGGGTACATAAGTTGTCCTGTGTTTGTAGTTATTTTTTTCCAGTGACAATAAAGTGACGGCATATGTCGGTATATGGTCTATGTTTCTTCTTATCATAGCGTTATCTAATTAATTAAATATTCACATCATTCTAGGCAGCATAATCCAATATAATACATATAGTGCAGCCGTCTCGTGACAGATATGGAGTCAATTGTGCACTTTGTGATAAAAGCATACAATTTTGCAAAGTTGTAGGTAATGACATTCCAAATATTTTCAGATATGGGGCCACTAAAAATATCCAATATGACCACCAAATCCAAGATGAAGAATGGAACAATGAAATTCTCGATAATCTCATTTGAACATACGCAACAACCTAAATATATAAGGAATAATGAACATTGTGCGATGTATTTACCCAACACTGCATCTGTAAAGTTGTATGTTTGTTTGTTTGTGTGTTTGTTGTTTAACGCTGCACTCAGCCTTGTTCAAGCTGTATGACTGCGGTCTGTAAACAATCTGAATCAGACAAGCCACGGATTAATATGAGCATCGATCCATGCAATTGGGATAGGATGACATGCATCAACCAAGTCAGCGAGCCTGACCACCCGATACCGTTAGTCGCCTCTTACGACAAGCATAGTCGCCTCTTACGGCACGCATAGTTGCCTCTTTCGATTGCCTCAGCCTCAAAGGATTATACGAATATTTGTAAAATATGTATTAGTTAATTGAGGCATTTGTCGCCGTTGCCTAGGCCCACGATTGCACGTCCACAAATCATATGATGCGGCTTTTAGCCCCACTGGCAACTAAAACTGTTGACAAAAAGGAAATTTTCTACCCCCTAAATACATTGTTGCAAGATGTTTTTTATAAGAAGATATAAAATAGTTTTAATTAAAATATATATCTAGTTTAGCAGTTGCAGCTAAAAACATATCTAGTCTCTAAACGTAATTTCGTTGGGTTGTCGGGTCGGGTCAACGGCTGCTGTTGTCAAACCTCTATTAAGAATCTTTCATTCCAATGGTTAATCCGTACCACGTGACGTAAATATACATTTCAATGTAGACTCCCAAATCATGTGACTGACACTGACCTCGAATATCGAATATCGTCTTATGATCAGTAATTACATATCACGTGATGGATATTGACTCGTCTGCTGGAAAACACGACGGCGTCTGGCAGACTTACACTTTACGGTTCGCAACTAAGTTACTGTAATGAAACAGGTTAAGTTTTTCATAATCTTTACAGTGAACTTCGGTATAACGAAACGAATGATTACTCTTGACTAGGTCAATATGCAATAAACAGGGACCCTCGTAACCGACCCCGCGGCGGTCTGACCGGATCTTGGCCTGCGGCCGCGGAGTCGGACCACCTCAGGGGTGGCGTCCTCGGTCCTTGTTTTCGCATATTGACCTCGTCAAGAGTAATTATTTGTATATTGTTTACGGTAGCTGATTGTCGCCCATCCTCCTTTCTACACATCTGTTGTTCACGGTAGCATGACCATACGTCTTGCTCAAGACGATCGGTTGCAAGTACATGTAGTTGAACCAATATGTCTCCCTGTCTTCATCGTTCTAGAAGGATCTCACACTGCAAACACGGAAACGTCGTTTTTTTTCGTATATGGTCATTGGACAGATTGTCGAAATCCTGTAACTCCTCTGAAGACTTTGTTTTCTTCTGGTATCCCCTTGTTGAAATGTAAAACAATATTCACTCACTCCTACACGTATATGTCATTGTGTCTCACTGGTGTCCCAGTAGGTGCTCATGGCTAATACAAGGGAATTGGTACAGAGGTGGCTGAACAGTTCGGAACGTATTACTGTGATGTACTGAGTTGATGGAGGTGGTTCCTATGTATTATTCAATACTTTTGCAACCGATGCTGAAGTGTGTGGATCCCACTGATGTAGCAAGCTTATTCCTGGTTGTGTATTTGGTTAAAATGTGCAATGTATGAAAGTATTGTACTTAATGCAGGCAAACTGTTTTAAAGGCGTACAATACATCCTTCATAAATATCGAACGTTTCAGGCACATATTGTGATAAAATCAATAAAATCATTAACTCAGATCGTTGTTTACAGATGTTTCCCAGATTAGAGTGATTACAACCTTCTGAAGAGTTAAACCTTCTTAATCTCAACTGTGCTATGCGTGTGACAGATATTGCAAACATTCCACATCGTACTATTTTTGGGTCGAGTAAAGTGTTTCTATATACTGAATGTAACACTTTATGACGGTGATCTGTAAATAATCGAATCTGAAGCAGACAAACCAGTATTTGACAACCTGATCATTGATCTAAACAATTGGGATACGATGACATGCATCAACCACGACAACGAAGCTGACCACACAATCCCGTTCCCGTCCGTCGTCTCTTACCACAAAGACCTACTCTAAATGTCACACAAAATGAGGAAGTCGGACAAATATGGAACAGTCTCCCCCTCTCCCCCATCCCCACCCCTATAACGAATATATGATTGATTGATTGATTGATTGATTGATTGATTGATAAATTGATTGATTGGTTGATTGACTCGGCCCACGTAACTGACAGTCTCACCTGAACACCACTCGGCCCACGTATTTTGCAGTCTCCCCTGAACACCACTCGGCCCACGTAAATGGCAGTCCTCTCCTGGACACAAATCGACCGACGTAAATGGCAGTCCTCTCCTGGACACCACTCGGCCTACGTAATTGGCAGTCTCCCCTGAACACCACTCGGCACACGTAATTGGCAGTCTCCCCTGGACACAAATCGACCGACGGAAATGGCAGTCTCCCCTGAACACCACTCGGCCCACGGAGCTGGCAGTCTCACCTGAACACCACTCGGCACACGTAATTAAAAGTCCTCTCCTGACACCACTCGGCCAACGTAATTGGCAGTCTCCCTTGAACACCACTCGGCCCACGTAGCTGGCAGTCTCACCTGAACACCACTCGGCACACGTAATTGAAAGTCCTCTCCTGACACCACTCGGCCCACGTATTTGGCAGTCTCCCCTGAACACCACTCGGCCCACGTAACTGGTTGTCTCACCTGAATACCATTCGGCCAACGTAATTGGCAGTCTCCCTTGAACACCATTCGGCCTACGTAGCTGTCAGTCTCACCTGAACACCACTCGGCCCACGTAACTGGTTGTCTCACCTGAATACCACTCGGCCCACGTAATTGGCAGTCTCCCTTGAACACCACTCGGCCCACGTAGCTGGCAGTCTCCCCTGAACACCACTCGGCCCACGTAATTGGCAGTCTCCCCTGGACACAAATCGACCCACGTAAATAGCAGTCTCCCCTGGACACCACTCGGCCAAAGTAACTTGCAGTCTCACCTGAACACCACTCGGCCCACGTATTTTGCAGTCTCCCCTGAACACCACTCGGCCCACGTATTTGGAAGTCTCCCCTGGACACAAATCGACCGACGTAAATGGCAGTCCTCTCCTGGACACCACTCGGCCTACGTAATTGGCAGTCTCCCCTGAACACCACTCGGCCCACGTAATTGGCAGTCTCCCCTGGACACAAATCGACCGACGTAAATGGCAATCTCCCCTGAACACCACTCGGCCCACGTAGCTGGCAGTCTCACCTGAACACCACTCGGCACACGTAATTAAAAGTCCTCTCCTGACACCACTCGGCCCACGTAAATGGCAGTCTCCCCTGAACACCACTCGGCCCACGTAGCTGGCAGTCTCACCTGAACACCACTCGGCACACGTA